CATGAACATGACCTGATTCTCAACCAAGCATGATGCATGACAAAGCTACATGAAGCTACTCATGGCAAGAGATGATGCAAACAAGAGCAACACATGAAGGCTAGTTTTAAATGAGGCCGGGAACAACATATAACAATTCCGATAAGTCCTCATATGCATATTTCGAAATTGGTCCAGATCTGAATAAACCTTATGTTCAAATTGTTAAACAGCAATTTAAGATGTACCAAGATGATCTACACGAGATTCTAGTCAAGTTACATATAAAGTTCATTTAGTTCGGAGCTACGGCCTATGAGATATGAGCAAAATAAGTTAAACATGGCATTAATGCAAAATGCATTCCAACATCAAGCAAACACCTCAAAACAAGGAAGCAACATGATAATATGAAGCTACATGCAATTCTAAGCAAGTTTCATATAGAGCACACTCAAAACGGAGCAACGGTTCAACACCCACACATGAAACAAGTTATAGCTACAATCTGTCCAAAACAGCAACTAGGCATATTGCAAGCATCAAAACAACATGCTACAGGACCTCAACAAGAAAACAAAAGGCATGGGAATGATGTACAGGTAAAGCATTACAAAACATGAACACTGAGCCATCTCCAGAAATCACTAGAACATGCTCAAACACACATGGTAAGATTGTAAGTTATAACAATTTCAGACTTTGCAGAAAATAACATCACGATGCAATGTTCGGAGCTATCAAACAACATGTTACATGAACTTATCATGGCAAACAAAGGCATGGTATGAATCTACTAAATGCATAGATCAAAAGATCCTTACTGACCATAAGCCAAAAAGGAACAGAAAATATGATGGCACCCACGTAAACATAGCAAGTTATAATACAGATTTAAACATGGCAGGAACATAATTATGAAGGCATGTAGATGAGCTTGTACCACTCACTACAGAGCAAAACATGGCCTGGCAAGGCACCCAACAGTAAGAAGACATGTTTAAGAAGTTAGGCATGGCAAGAGCAAGTTCATAGGGTGCATGGATCACTAGGAAAACACATGGAAACAACTGAACTTAATGTTAACAGGCTGACAGCAACATTATGAAGCAACTTTGGAGCAAGATATGAACAAGCTACAACAAGCTATAAATGATACCAGGGGCATGGATGGATATAGCATGACATGTAGATCAAAACATGTTTATAGAACATCTCCAGATTATGCATAGAATGACTAGTAGCAATATATTTATATAGCATCGCGAAATAACAGATTCAGCCTAGCAAAACAGCAACATCATGTACACTATTTAACAAGCTCGATTCACTCACCACAAGTCATTGCATGACAAGATAAGCATAGCATCATCAAGAAGACATGTTTGTGTAACAAACCAAGTCAAGAACAAGTCCATAGCATGCAAGATCAACTATAGCAAGCTTGGCCAAATTGAATAACATGTAAACAATCTGTCAGGAAACATTTTGAAGTAAAAGTAGAGCACGAAAATGACATGCTAGACTACTCCATAATTGCAACAAAGGGCAGAGATGAATAGACAATAACCACATGTTCAAAACACCCTTACTGAAGTATCTCAAAATATGCATGGATCTCTCTGTAGCATCAAGTTTACATGGCATCAAAATAATAGCAGAACATGGACTAAAATCAGTAACATCATGATACCTAGTTTGCATGCTTGTGACAGTCACCACATTGATCACAAAAATACATGGTAAGCACCTCTGTAAAGAAGACATAGTATAGTTCAAAACACACACATCAACCTCATAGGATGCACACATCAATCATGGCAAAAATGACAAAAGAGCTCGTTCTGATAACAGACACCAGAAAACATTATGAAGCACTCTTACAATGCTGATTCAGGCATCTAGATGACCTCAAATGAATATGATGCAATTGAATGTAATGATGTACTCGTCGAGGCGAACAATTTGACATATTACACGCACGAAACGGAGCTACGGATGCAGAGATACGGCATGACGAATATGGCATGAAAATATTAGCAGATTCGGGGACTAGCATTTTTACCTCCGGGAAAAGTCAACCCGGGACGGAGGCGTTCCGGGACGGCGCGTTTGGTTCGAGGGAGTGGTGGATCTCGTCCACTCCCTCGGATCCGGCCGGAGCTCCGGCGAGGTGAACTCCGGCGAGCGGCACGGGGCGCGGAGGAGGCCGGAGGGAGGCGCGGTCGCCGGAGGAGGCGCGCACCGGCGCGGTGCAGGGCGCAGCGGGGCCGGAAGGCGACCGGCAGGGCGCTGCGCGGCGAGCGGCACGCCATGGCGGGGCGGCGGCGGCCGGCACAGCTCCAGCGGAGCACGGGAAGCGGGGCGAGGCCGACGGCGGCGCTCGGAGGCGGAGGAGCGCTCGGGCGCCCGGGCGCGGGAGGCGCGACGACCCGGCGACGAGGCGGCAAGGGACCGGGCTGGGAGGCGCGGCAGGGGCGGACGCGCGGGACAGGTGGCGGTGCGCCACTGGCTGAGGGGGCGGCGGCGGACATGTCTGGCTGCGGCCGGACGTGTCCGGTGGCGGCGGAGGGCGATTTTGCTAGGGTTAGGGTAGAATGACCCGAAAATTTCGGGGGAGGTCTAGTTTTATAGGTAGAGGGAGCTAGGAGAGTTCAAATGAGGAGCGGTTTTCGGCCACACGATCGTGATCGAACGACCGAGAGCATGGAGGGGAGTTGGCTGGGTTTTGGGCCACTTTGAAAGGGTGTTGGGCTGCAAAGAGAAAGGGGGGTTTACGGTTACCCGGTTAACCGTTGGAGTATCAAACGGACTGCAAATGGCACGAAACTTGACAGGCGATCTACCGGTGCTATACCAAGGCCACTTGGCAAGCCTCGGTCCATTCCGAGAAAGTTTAACACCCACTCACAAGAGGAGACGAAAAGGGGAACGCCGAATGACATAGGAGCGCCGGATCGCAAAACGGACAATGGGGAAAATGCTCGGATGCATGAGATGAACACGTATGCAATGCAATGCACATGATGACATGATAAAATGCAACACGCAAGCAAAAGACATGGCAACGACGACGAATAACTGGCAGACACCTAGCGCAACGAATCCGGGGCGTTACAAATCCCCAGCAAGTACGACCGCATATGCCACCAGGCAACAACGAAATCTTTTGTGGTGAAAAACACTAGGCTATCTTTGGTTCATAGGATAGGAATTACATAGAAATAGGAAAAGTATAGGAAATGAGGTGCATACATCCTAAATCCTATGAAGTGCTCAATCATAGAAAAAGAAAATTGAATGTCGTTTGGTTCACAGGATGGGAACACACATAGGAAACATAAAGAAATAATATTTTAATTTGAAGAAAGTAACCGTTGACTTGAATGTCACAAATGGAAGATGAATTCATGCTACTATTTGACTTCCTACCATGGAGCAGGAAGAGAAAGAAAAACAATTGAGCGAGTACAGGTTATACTATATATGCAGCGAGTAGCAAATTCATCTTTGACTCGAGCAAAAAACATAACGTTTACTGCAGGAAAGACGAATCCATCTAATTTCTTTAGCAGTGGAGGAGCCACCTCCCAGCGACCCAAAATCACGGCTAAGCAGTGGGATTATGTATGGGCCAGAAGCAATATTTCCACGGGCAAATGGCAGCTCACAGTGAGTCAAAGTTAGTCTTGCCCAGGTTCCACTCACGGGCTGGCTCCGCCATTGTTCTTTTTTTTTTTTGAAAACGGGCAAAAGATTTGTCACGTATATTAATTAAGAGAGAATAGAGTTTGTGTTACAAACACCCCTTAACAGTACACGGAAGAATCACTCTCCCGGCATGATGGACCCTAGCTTCTTAGCTCCAGCGGCGACCCAAAATGATGCCTCCCTTTTGATGTTGTCGAGAAGAACCGTAGGCGGAGCGGCCATGTTGCGGAATACACGAGCGTTTCGCTCGTTCCAGATCGTCCATGTAGTGAGCATGGTGAGCGAGGCCATGGCCTTCCGGTTGGGGACTGAAGTATCAGTCAACCCAAGCCACCAGTCTAAGGTGGAATGCCTCAGGGGCCAAGTACAATTCACTGCAGATTGTGGAACGAGATGCTGATTGTAATTAGAGCGTCTAATTTTTTAGGCCGGCTGGTCGGCAGTAGAGGCTCTCCACCTTGCCTGCCGACGCACGCGTCGTTCGCGGCAGGAAGTTTTTTAAGAGGTCGGACCTCTTTTTTGTTTTCCTGTGAAACGTGCATGGAAGGAAGAAATCATGTGCAGGAATAGAATGCCATTCCTTTAAACCAAAGGCATCTAAAGGTTTTTTTCCTACAAAAATCCTATCCTTCAAAATTCCTCTAAAAATCATGTGAACCAAAGGAGGCCTAGGAATGTAATGGCATGGGTGTGCATTTTGATGGTGGATTTTAGTCGACTGGCATCAGTTCCATGTCACTAACACCATGCTAAAAGAAAGTGCAAATTTCAACAAAAATGACTACACATTCTGGATTATAATCTGATGGGATAGCATGAATAGGAGTACTACTTGATCATAAGAAAGCAAATCTTCTGTTTCCTAACTCAAAGTGAATGGCATGTACTGTTCATCATAGTACAAGGCCCCAACTGACAAAATCAGAGGCAGTAAAAGTGGCATCTGCATGGCATACTACCAATGCAAAAAAGAAACTCGAAAAAGACAAGAAACCTTTTCCTCTTTCGTTCTGGAAAAGAAAACAACCACCTTCCTTTTGCTCACGTAGCCCTTCCCTCCGTCGCTCTCGCCCCGCAAGACTGCATTTTGGCATATGGCCTCTCTGTTCTTCCCATCGCCTCACCCCTAAACCCCAACCAAACCCCTCCCTCTCCGTCGCCGTCCGTCTCCACAGACCTCCTTCGTCCCCGTCCGCGGTCGTCTCCGGTAAGGGCAACCCCTTCTCCCTTTCGACAAGAGGCGAGGCGAGGCGAAGACGCGCGCGCTGATGGTTTCTTGCCGCTGCTTGTTTACAGGGTGGGTGGTGACCATGGCGCCTGCTACTCTGTCGCCGGTGGAAGGAGCGGCCGCCAAGAACATCGACGCGGGGCACGGGAGCGACGCGGGAACCTCGGCGAGGAGGCTACGGTCCTTGCACCCGGACGTGGCGGAGTTGCTCCAGCGAACCCGTGACCGGCAGACCAGGAAGAAGGCCTCGCCGACGGCGCGCGTGGCCAAGGGCGGGGAGGAGCTGAGGCGCGCTCGGTACGACTACGTGTTCGAGCGCGAGGAGGATGATGACGCGGGGCTCCCGGCGCCGCCGCGCCTGGTGTGGGCCAAGGTGAGGGGCTACCACTGGTGGCCGGCGCAGGTGTTCGACCCGGCGGACGCGTCGGAGCTCGCGCTCGGGGAGCGCCGGAGGCGCGGCGCCGCCCTGGTGGCCAACTTCTGGGAGAGGACGTTCGCGTGGGAGGCCGACCCGGCGGCGCTCCGCCCGTTCCGGGAGGGCTTCCCGCGCTTCGCGGCCGTCGACCGCGCCCACGTCCCGCGCTGGGGCGCCCGCAAGACCATGTCCCCGTTCGCCTCCGCCGTGGACGCCGCGCTGGGCGAGGTCGCGCGCCGCGTCGACTTCGGCCTGTCCTGCGACTGCGCCATCAGCCGCGGCGTCGCCAAGAGGCAGGTGGTCGACAACGCCGGCGTCCGGGAGGGCGCGCACGGGGCCGTGGTGGACACCGCCTTCGCCAGGGACGCGTTCCGCGGCGACGCGTTCGTCGAGTACCTCTCCGCGCTCGCCGTCGCGCCGCTCGCCGGGGCCGACAGGCTCGAGCTCACCGTCGCCACGGCGCAGCTCAGGGCCTTCACCCGGTGGAGGGGCACCAGAGGCCTCCCCGTGTACACCGTTTGCTACGGCATCCGCGACATTGCCGATGGCGCCATGGGGGCCACGCCGGCACGCCGTGGCCGCGCCAGCGCCACTGCCAAGAGGGGACGGCCGAGCGGCGACAGTGCCGATGGCAAATGGAAGGACTCAAGGTGCGTCACCTGCGGCAGAGCAAGAGAGAGCGTGGAAGACGCCATGGAGCTGGGGAACTACGAGCCAACCCCACAGCCCCTGTCGCACAAGGCGACCACAAAGATGGGGAAGCTCATGCGCAGGGCCGCACGGCGGATGTCGCTGTCGCCGCCGGTGACCCGCAGAGCCGACCGTGCCACGCCCACGCCCACTCCTCCGGTGAACGCTGGTGTGGGGATGGCAAGGTGCACAAGGGCCGCTGCTGCCGATCATGCCGCTCAGCTGCATGACGTCCCTGTCACCACCGCTGCTCCTCCTCCGGCGAAGCCGCAGAACAAGGACGAGCAGCCCCAGCTGACCGGGCTGCTGCTGAACTTCACAGGCCCCAACGCCGTCCCTCCGGCGACCGACCTCGTCGAGATCTTCAGCCGGTTCGGGCCTGTGGTGGAGGCCAGGCCGGAAGGCTTCTCCGTCGCCGTGGTGATCTTCGAGAGCAGCCTGGATGCCGCGGCGGCGTTCGCGGGCACGGCCAAGATCGGCGCCCTCAGCCCCAACCTCATCAGCTTCCGCCTCGCCTACTCGCTGTCCGCTCCCGCCGCGCAGGTCGATGATTCTCCACAGAGCCCCATGAACGCCGATGAGATGGATCACCTGCTTGATGAGGCTGAGGGAATGGATCTGCTGGACCTCCTGGCAGTCGAAGCTCTTCACTAGCTGGCTCGCTCAGGTTTCTGCTGCTCATCCCTGACAATGTAGTCTTCTTCTTGTCTGCATCATGACACATTGTAGCACTTCCTGTTCTTGTGTTACTCAATGCCAATGCTGTTTATCTCTTTTGCAGGCTATTTTGGATATGAGAAGGCAATGGAAGAGTTTACATGTTCAAATCAAGCAAGGAATTTTTGGATCACTAGGTGATGATAACCTGTAGCAGGAAACATAGTTCAGGAAGTAGTCAGTTGTGTTGCATCCATGTGGGGTGGTGACGTAGTAGCATCACACATCAGTTTCATCTTTTTGGCCTGTCTTCTACTACAAACTGTTGTTTCACTTACGGCATGTTTAGTGAGTTATCTGTGGTGCAAAGACATCTAAGCCGATGATGATTCATATCCTATCTATCCATTTGGACCGTTGATGTATTGCCTGCATTATAAGCTGGGTCATTCGAGCTAAAACTTGTAGCAGAAAGTTGTTTCCATGTTGTGTTCAATTTTTGTCTCAGATGATTACAGCAATCCATGCGTTTAGACAAATGTTATCCATATTACAAGCCTTGGTATTGGTGTATCAGCAGTAATCCAGAGTATTGGTCGTTTTTTTTTTCTTTGCCATGAGCTCCTCGGATGTTATTTGACCATGAAAATTTGAATGCACCTGACGGTCTTGGATTCCAGTTATTTTGTTTTTAACTATTGTTTTTGAATTCACTGTCCATGGGCATGTGTGGATGAGCCTCGGCAATTCGTATCATGTTGATATTAATGTATTACCCTATGTAAAAAAGAACTGATATAACATCAACAATTTTGGAGTCACACATTATCATTTCAATAACCTTTGATTATCAAACATCATTAATACATCCATAGTATTGGGGTCGTCAAGGTATTACGTTACAAACTCCTTGACCGCTGCAGTAGCAAATCTAATCATGGCCTTGAGGCATGTGCTCACAGACACCCGGAGATACTCATCCCACTAGTCTAGGGCATAGAAGCATCCTAGTAGCAGCCGTGCACTTCTGGAGACCGGAGAACTCAATGTGGCCAATGGCGTCCCTCTTTAGCTTGAAGTAAGCATCGTAGGCCCTCACACCTTCCATGATGCGTAAGAGTAATGGTTTTCCCATCTAATGTCAGCGCTAGTGGTTGAATAGTGCATTGGGGGCAAATTAGTCCTTATGGGATCAACATTGCCAACTTGCATGCCGATGATTTAGCACTCGGTGTCTCTTTGTTAAACCCTCGAAGTTGAGAACATGTTTTGTTTCTTCAGTAATTGCCATTAGCATCGCTATTTCATTCTCATCTTGGTCATCATTAGACAAAGACAGATTCATGAACTCGGCATAGAAGTAGTCCTCATTTGAATCCATTGCGCTTACTTCAAAGTAAATGAAAGAATGTAAAAAAATTCCACTATAGCATTTGACCGAACACTTATCGGGTGCAGTGTCCGCCATGGACGGTGTTGGCAGGAGCGAAGAGTGTCTGGGTGGCAACTGGGTCCGAAGGAGTATGACGGTGGCATAGACCTAGGCGGGAAGGCGGTTGGGTTGGCCGGCGGAGGTCTGGCAAGGCTTGGGAGGCGTCTCAGGTGTTGGTACGATAGTGGCAGGCTCCAAGGGCGTAGATAGAGAGCGTAGGAGGGCCGGATCATGAAAGACTTGGGCTCCTAATGGGGATTTGGGTAGGACAACGATGTTGTAGGGGGTGGGGGGAATGTGGTTACACGGTTACCGAAAAATATCAAGCGGATATTATTTAAAATGTTTAAACAAAATTCAGTTTCAAATTTATTTGAGCTAGCTATTGATTGTCACGAATTCACTAGTGTTGGCATGGTTGTCTTCAAGCTATTCATTAAATACTAAGGTGGTGAGTTTGTCCCTGCATGGGCGGATTACTTTTACAATGCGGTATATATTGTATGCCCAAACTCAGTGCAAAAAGTATGCAACACCCTAAGGCTTGCATACTTAGGACGGTTGCACTAGCCAGCAGAACATAGTTGCTTCTATGTCATATCAGCGTTTCATTCCAAATGTCAGGACCGTGCGTTTTGGAGGGTGATTTGGTGAGGTCAACTTGCAGTATGTAACAATTGAGTTCCGATGAGTTTGAAGATGGCACCATTGGCCCAACAGAAATTTTCTCCCTAGAAGCTTACTTGGCACAACAGAATACTGTCAACAACTTTGCTACACAAATAGCTACAGATATTCATGACGCACTAGAAGCTCTAAGTACTAGACGTCGGTCAGCCCCTGGGACATATATTCATAGGAAGGGAGAATTTTACAACGAACTTCTCATAGAAGATTACTTTTGTGATAATCCTACCTATCCTGGTTACTACCTCCGTAGAAGGTTCCGTATGAGAAAAACCCTCTTTCTACGCATTGTTCAAGCTCTTGGTGAGTGGTCTTCCTACTTCACTCCAAGGGTAGATGCCCTAGGTTGTCCTGGCCTACCATCTTTACATAAGTGCACAGCAGGTGCAACACCCCGAGAATCATGCTACAATAATCTCTCCCTAATGGTGGCCATGTCATCATGATTACTATGCTAATTGCCACTTACCTAAAAATCAAAGTCAAATAATTAAATTTTCAAATAGTAAAATAAAAATGTAGGCCAGGTTGAAAATATTCCCTAACTATTTTTCATGAATTATCCAACATATTTTGATTTAATAAAATGTCCCCAACCTATAAAATAGAGTAAGCAACAATTAAATTGACCGTCTCAATTTAAATAAATATCTAACCTTTTCAAAATAAGTTGTAATTTTGTGCGCTGCCTTAAAATGTTGCCTAGTATTTATGTGCTAAATGGCACATTTAACAAAGTTCATTTGTTAGCTAAAATAAATACAAAACAGAGATAAAATAGATAACAAAAAAGGAAAAGGAAAAACGAAAATAAGCTATTGTTGGACTGGGCCTCTAAGTGAACAGGGGAGGCCCAGCCCAACCGGGTTGTCTCCCACCTCCTGCTACGGAAGCAGGGGAGGCCGTGGCGGCCATCCCACGGCCATCCCCCGACCCTCCCTAAGGATAAGAGCAACGCCCAGCCCCCCCTCTCTCTCGGACGAACCCTAATTCCCCTTTCCCCCTCGCGCTCTGGATCGAGCCGTGCCAACACTGCATCGTCGTGCTGCCGTCACTACCCACTACAAGAAATATGCTTAATTGTGACCTTCTCTAACAACCCTGGGTTCAATAGTCATAAATCTATGACCATTTTGAACCAATTGGTCGTACACTGTGTGGGAGGGTCCAAATGCTAAAACATAACGACAATTTTGATTAAAAAGGTCGTAGCTTTCTACATGAAATGGTCATAAGCAAAAAACACTGGTTTACTTCACTATTAGTACTCGATTACAACCAATCTAGATGGTCATGTCTGCTAATTTGTAATGCCTGTAATGACCGGGCGTCCACCTCAGCAATTTTGCCTGTGTGTCATGTCCATGTGTCTGCCACCCAAGCAGTTTTATCTATGTGTCATGTCCATGTGTCAATTTCCGTTTACATTTCTCTATGACAGGTGGGACCCACCACAAAACTGACATGCAGGACCCACCATCAACATGACACGTGGGCTCACCAAACTGACATGCCGGACCCACCATCAACATGACATGTGGGCCCACCAAGCTGACATGCAAGACCCGCCCAAATGTGAGACGGACAAGTGACCTGACGAGCGCTACTGTAAAACTGAAAAAAAACATGCGTATACCAAAGAAAAACTTAAATGCGCATCCCAAAGAGGGATTCGAACCCGGGACCTACCTGCACGAACCTACTCCCTCCGTCCAGAAATACTTGTCATCAAAATTGATAAAAGGGGATGTATCTAGATGTACGACCATGCCACCATATTACTTGTCATTCGAAACTGCACTCGCCTTATTTTATAATTTTTTTGAGGAAGCCTTATTTTATAAATACCCTTGTTTCCTGGACTTGGGCTTCGGTCATCGGAAGCATTCCCTTTTTTTTCTTTTAACTTTGTGGTCCGCCGAGTGGGCCAACGGCCCATAGCCTATTAAAAGGTATTTTAAGTTGGAACACGTGTGGTTTCATTTTCTGTTTTTATTTCTTTCAAATAATTCGTGATTTTAAAAAGATCAATTGTTTTTTAAAAATGATTTTTGGTAAAATGTTCCTGAATAATAGTACTTCTTGGTTTAAAAAATGTTCATGATTTTGAAAAAATGTTAGCATACTGAAATAATGTTCGTGAATTCGAAATAAAATTATGTGAAATAAAAAAGGTTCATGATATTTTCTTAAAATATCCACAAAAATTATCATGAATTTTAAAATATGTTGATCGATTGAAAAAATGTATTCATCGAAAGTCTTCATAATTTCTTCACAAACTATTTCCATTTTGTTTCTTCAGTTTTGTCAGTTTCGTCAGTAGTTTCAGGTTGTTTTCTGTCAACGAGTTTAGCTCGAGTTAGTTAGCGCCAAGAGCGAGTCTAGCGCCCCCTCTGATCGCTCGTGGGATGGCACGAGTGCCATGATCGGTTTACTTGAACTGTTTGGTTCGCGACTTCGCAATTTGATATCACTGATGCACATTGGAAGAAAATCTCACATCACACAAGATTAGAGAATTGGAATGCTTTTTGTTTTATTTGCTTCAAGTATATTTCCAGTAGTACATCACAACACGGAGCTGTTTGTTTGTATTACTGCATCACGTACACATCTAAGATCAGTATGGAAGGCTGATTTGATTTGATTCAGATGTGACATCTCTGTCTGCACTTTCAGACTATTTTCCACTTGAGTAAGTCAGCTTCAGAGTTTCAGCAAAACTCGGATGTAGAAGTTTTATTTATCAGTTATATAAATGTTATTGAAGTCATTATTTATCAGTTTGCTGCATACAATCCATGAAGGTGGATTTATTATATTTTACTGTGTTATCGCCATTAGAACAGATCTACAAACTCCTAAGTTTGAGCTG